CTTTCACAGCTCTATCCATGCCTTATAGGACCCTGTTAGAGCTCCATCCATTCGTAATAATTTCTGATGAGAGCTCCACCCGTTCCTACTACGATCTTCTGAGACCTCCACCCATCCGTAATATGATCTTATTATAGCCTCATCCATCTTTAAAAGGGTCCTATTAGAGCTCTGCCATCCCTCATAGGATCCGATTGGCGAAGGCAGCTGTCGGCGTCGTTTCGTTAGCGCGCGAGCGTTTGGCGAAGGCAAGTCCGAGTTAACCCTTATATCGGTTCCATTGGATTATGTCATTTGGTTCGTTGTTTGTGTGAGTGTGGGTGCTGGATATTGGCTGCTGTTCCCCCCACCCCCCTCTTTGGGTGGGGAAGGGCACAAAGAGGCGTTGATGCGTTGTTGTTGATGTTGTTGTTGCTGTTGTCGTTGTCGTCGTCGTTGTGGTTGTTGTTGCTGTGGTTGTGGTTGCTGTTGTTGTCGTCGTTGTTGTTGTCGTTGTGGTTGTTGTTTTGTTGTTGTTTGTTGTCGTCGTGGCGCCCGCGACCCGAAACGGCCCGCGACCCACCCACAACCCACCCGCGACCCACCCCGCGACCCACCCCGCGACCCGCCCGCGGCTCGCCCGCGACCGTCCCACGACCCACCCCGCGCCCGCCCCTTCATTCAGATCCGTAAATGTGGGATGGCACATATTCTGCGACATAGTCCCTCAGGGGCCCTCGACCCCATCCAGGGCCCATTTTCCACACCCCAAGGCCCCTTTCTGATGGCTCCGGCCCCCGAAGACCGAAATCGAAAAAAAACTGGCTGCCTCGATCTTTCTACCTGCTGGTTAGAAAGAGCGTGTTCTACCGCTGCTGGCGGAAAATGGTGTGGGGGTCACTGGGGGTTCCCAACCCATCCCCCCACCCCCTCCCTCGAAAACCGGGGGGGGGCACTACCCATTCGAACCCCCCCCGTCCCGCAGTCGATAATGAAAAAGGGGGGGGGTCCACTACCGGTTCGAGCCCCCCCCTCCCCTCGAAAACCGGGGGGTCACTACTGGGACAGTGGTACAATGGGGAGAGTGGTGGGGACAGTGGGGACAGTGGGACAGTGGTGGGGACAGTGGGGACGGTGGGACAGCACAGTGGGACAGCGGCGGGGACAGTGGGACAGCGGTGGGTACAGTGGGGACAGGGGGAGAGTGGTGGGGGCCGTGGGGAAAGTGGCGAGAGCGGGACCGTGGTAGGACAATGGGGTGGGGAGAGTGGGGACAGTGAGACATTGGTGGGGGCACTGGTGGGGACAGCGGGGACAATGGTAGAACAGTGTGAACAGTGGGACAGTGGTGGGGACTGGGGGACAGTGGTGGGCACGGTGGTGTTGGGGACGGTGGTGTGGGGACAGGGGGAATGTGGTGGGGACGATGGGGCAGGGATGGGAACAGTGGTGGTGGGGATAGTGGTGAGGGCGGTGGCGAGGACGGCGGTGGGACAATGTGAGAGAGGTGCAGTGTGGACAGTGGTGAGGGCACTGGTGGGAACAGTGGGACAGCTCAGTGGGACAGCGGCGGGGACAGTGGGATAGTGGGGACAGTGGGACAGTGGTTGGGGCCGTGGGGAAAGTGGGGGGAGTGGGACCGTGGTGGGAACAGTGGTGGGGGCAGTGGGAACAGTGCGACAGTGGTGCGAGCACTGGTGGGGACAGTGGGGACGGTGGTGGGAACAGCGGGGACGATGGTGGTGAGGACAGTGGTGTTGGGGACAGCAGGTGGGGGATGCGGTGCGGACGGTGGTAGAGATCTGGGAGTCGTTTGCCGGCAGTGAGCGTGTGGGGGGGGGGCTCGAATCGGTAGTGACCCCCCTGGTTTTCTGGAGGGGGGGGGGTTCGAACCGGTAGTGACCCCCCCCCGGTTTTCTGGAGGGGGGGGGGTTCGAACCGGTAGTGACCCCCCCTGGTTTTCCCCCCAGTTTTCCGGAGGGGCGGGGGTTCGAACCGGCAGTGGCCCCCTCGGTTTTCCGGAGGGGGGGGGGTTCGAACCGACAGTGACCCCCACGATTTTCTGCAGGGGGGAGGAGGTTAAGGGGGGGGGGTTGCCGATGGGAAGGGGTGGGGCCAGGGGGGTCCAGCTCCCCTTTCGGGTCGGGACGGAAGGGGGGGATATGAAATTTTTGGCATGCGGCTGCTTCTGGCCCCGCCGCCGATCACGTTCCTCGAAGCATGTTCGCCTCTGCCGCCGGGAGGCGCCGAAAGCTGATTTGGCACCCCCCCTCTTTGCTGACCCCGACCCCTCCATCCACCGAAGAAACACAACTGTATAAACATAAACTTTCGGCGCTCAGCGCGGATTTCTTGGATGGGCATTGGGCCCCCTTGTCGGCGCCTCTAGCGCCCCTTATGGCGAGCTTCGCGCGCCAGGAGGGGTGTTTCGCGCCGATCCACGAACTCCGCGCGGACCGCCGAAAGTTTATGCTTGTGCCTTTCTTGATACTCCAATATTTGCCAGCTTTCCGTGCTGCGTCCAGTCGCGGCGGCGAGAGCCTCTCCGCGCGACGACGGCGACGACAACGGCGCCGCCGACGTCCACGACGACGCCAGCGACGACGACGACGACGACGACGTCGACCACGCCGCCGCCGCAGACGACGCTGACGACGACGACGCCGACGACGCCGCCGCCGACGACGACGACGACAGTGGGAGCGGTCGGCCACCGCCGGCGCGCGCAGGCGTCGGCGGGCTGCCCCCGCGGACTGGCTGGCGGGTGCCCTGGAACTCTCCTCGTGTGGAGGCGCGCCCCGCCGCTGGCCCGCACTCTCTGCCGGTGCGGGCGGCGCCCACGGCTCAAAAGGCACTAGTGCCGCTGGCCTGGTCGGGTAGGGCCAGGGCCCCAGGTAAGGGGACCCGCTCCCAGACATCGGGCGTCTCGAAAAAATCGAGACGGAGGTTTTTCGTAGTTTTCGGCCTCTCGGGGCCCTCGCCGGGCCTCGGGACCGTCAAAAAACGACTCGGGAGGAAAAACCGGCCCTGGGGAAGTGGTCGGGAGGTAGGGGGCCCGCGTCTCGAAAAAATCGAGACGTCGGATGTCTGGGCTTGGTGGGAGGGCCGCGGAGCCCCCAGTCAGAAGAGCTCTTTTGAACAGCACTCCTGGGCGGCAGCGGGCGGTACACCGTGGGGGAGGGGGGCGGGGGGCCGGCAGAGTCACGTGTCGCGCAGGCGCCGTCTGAAGTTATCTGGGGACATCTATATCTATATATATATATATATATATATATATAACCAAAGCGCTCTGGAGGTCTGCCGAAACGTGGCGCTTATCTGTGGAGGGATGGGGGGCGGCCGGGGCCGCTGACGGCCGTCGTGGCGAGAAGTACAACACGATTCTCCTTCGCATTGTGGGGCCTCCCGGGAGGCCCTCGTCGCCGCGGCTGGATTCGCCTCGAAGTCCTGGTGAGCACGCACCCCGGGAGAAGGGCGTTTTTTCATAGCAATCTTCTATCTGGCCTCTCCCTCGCGTTGCGGCAGGTCTTGACGGTAGTAAGATCTAGGCCTCCAGGCTCCCTGCCAGGCCCATGGGCTGTCAAGAAACGACTCGGGATGAACTGCCAGCCCTGGGGAAATGGGTCAGGACCTCTGGGGGCCTCGCGTAACCCCACGAGTCCATCCAGAAACGGTGCCCAGGCGAGTTGCCCTGATCAGGGAGGAGCATGGAGTGGAGGAAAGGGCTGGGGAAGCCGTCATACCCTAAGAGGGGGAGGATGGAGGAGGAATTGAAGGAGGAGGAGGAGGAGGAGGAGAACGAGAATGAGAAAGAGAAAGTCAAAGAGGAGGAGGGAGGTCTCTTGGATGCCTCTCGGAGTCTGTTCGGATACCTCTCGTCGAGAGCTTCGTGGAGTCAGCTTGGGGCGCCTTGGGGGCCGTCCTGGGGGCCTCTTCTAGCATCTTGGACGCCTGGAAGGAGCCTCTTGGGTCCTCTTGGGTGGCTCTTGGGGACCTCTTTGGGGCCTCTTGGGGCCTCCTGAGCGCCTCTTGAGGCCCGCTTGTGGCACTCTTGGGAGCCTTGGGGGCCATCTTGGGACCGGCCATCTTTGTGGAGATCGATCAAAGAAGGGGATGGCTCAATTAAGTACCCCCCATGAGGCCAAACTGGCCCACAACCTCAGTCAACCAATGATGTTTGCCTTCTCGCCGAGGCCGCCTTGGACGCTCCAATGGGTCGCGGCCCCCCCATCCAGGTCCAGGGGAGGGGGCGGGGGTGGGCGCTAAGGCCTCCCCGAAGGGGAAGAAGGGGAGTTGGAAGAGGGAGCGCCCTAAGCCACTCACGCCCAGAGGGCTGGGGGGGGATTTCTGGTACCTCTCCTTTTCAGTCGCGCGGACCGCCGCCATGCTTTTGCCCACCACCCCTCGTCCTCGAGACCCGACGTCGCGAATCAAATGCGGCATCGTGAAGCATCACGACACGACCGAACTCTTAGATCCAGTCTTTCTGCAGTGTTTCTGCGCCGGATCGTTCCGTGATGGCCCCGAGGCGCAACACCGGAGGACAAGTGCTATTTCTATGCTGGACGCTTCGCGTAACCCCAATGGCCCATCCAGAATCGGTGCTCAGGCGAGGTGCACTGACCAGGGATGTGGAGGAGCGTGCAGTCGTACAGTGGAATGAACGGCTGGGTAAGACATCTTACTCTAAGAGGGGGAGGATGGACCAGCAATCGGTGGAGAAGGAGCAGGAGTAGGAGGAGGAGGAGGAGGAGAAGGGAGGAGGGATGATGAAGACTAGGCGGATGAGGAAGATGAGGAGGAGGAGGAGGAGGAGGAGGAGGAGCAGGAGGAGCATCAGCAGGGCGCGCAGAAAAGCCAGAGGCATCTTGGATGACTCTCGGAGTCTGTTCGGATACCTCTCGAGAGCTGCTTGGAGTCCTCTTGGGTCGCTTGGGGGCCACTTGGCGGTCCCAAGGGGCCTCTTGGAGCGTCTTATGTGCCTCAGGGGAGCCTCTTGGGGCATTTGGGTGGTCTCTTGT